CGTGACCTTGAGATAAAACAAGGAAAGTGGCCATTAGTTTCATTTTCTATGCTTGAAATTCTGATACTAAAAAAGCACAGTTCTAACATATTTGATTAATATTGTACTTCAGAACTAGACAATGATAGAATCTGCCAGAACTGTCCTTATGAAACGGCCAATCAAGATGCTAACCCTGAAGCAAATCCTCGAGCAAGTTCAATTTTGGCCCAGTCGGAGGAAGAGTTCGTTTCGCACAGATCTGAAACGCCTAAGACTCACGCCGGTTTCACACTGCACAGGTTAGCAGAGCGCATTTTTTTTCGCCGCCCATGTTAACAGATTAGATCATTCACACCGCAAGCAGATTAAGCTGAATTAAAGTGACAATGCATTGATCATGCCCAAAATACACAGCAGCTTTACCTAACAGCACACTGATGATATCTATTGTGTTTTAAACAGTCAATCAAATGACCTTTGATCAATTTAAAAAGAAAACAAATGTCCAGAAATAAACTTGTTGCCCAAACTACAAAAACAAAGATGAACCAAAAGTTATATAATATATGATTTAATAAAATCTTCTTCTTGACAAGTCTTTTCTCTTAAATGTAGCCCATTTGAAAATGAGATAAAGCAATGCCAACTTAGCCATTATAACGTAGGCTACTCTGTACACACACTGCCGGTGTGAAAGTAAAATGCGCGTGTCCTGCTTCCGCTCACCGAACGCACTGATCCTGCGCTGCTAACGCATGCAGTGTGAAACCGGCGTGAGACTGAATTCAGCCTTTTCTGGGGGCGCTTCTAAATGCAGCCCAAATGAGGGCGCACAAAAATACCCACCGAAAGCCACTGTCCAGCAGTCTCTCTTGGCTTCCCCCTCCATCGGCTCCATGTTCACCACAGGTGTGTCTTTCTGCCGCGTGTCCCACACCTTCACTGTTCCTGTTCATCAAAACACACACTTTCAAATCCAACCACACTGAGAACAAACTGAGGCCTTGTCCACACTAAAACGCATCTTTTTCTCTTTGAAGACGGCGCTTTTATTAATGAAGACAAACCATTTTGAAAACACTCTCCAAAGGGGATACATTTTTAAACGCTGTTTTCGCGTTGCATATGGACTGAGGTATTTTGAAAAGATGACCTTAGTTTAGTCATGTGATGCGTATTGAACCTATAGATATTCATGTTTATAATGGTATTGTGCCTGTTATGTGCTGTTCACTTTCACACTGTTGCTGAAATATGTAACTTCACACACTCTTCATATCACAGTCCTGACAGAATATTCACTCACATCTGCTGTCCTGCGGTGAAACACGAGCAGTTTCAGAGCACACATATCATGGTGAGTGTGTTTGAGCGTGACTTGGAAGCTTCAGTGAATGCGAGTTTCTAAATAAAAGGATCCAGCCAGAAGAATTTCCATCTGTATCATCTTAGTGAGGTTTTGTGAGGTTGTACACATGCGCTGTAGCGCTTTCAGGCGTTCAGGTGAACACGCTAGTGTGGACGGAGAGCATTTTTAAATGAAAGCGCCGTTTTCAAATGTATTCGGATTAATGTAGCCTTAAAGGAGTAGTTCACTTTTGAAAAAAAACTTTTGCTGATAATTTACTCACCCCCATGTCATCCAAGATGTCCATGTGTTTCTTTCTTTAGTCGAAAAGAAATTAAGGTTTTTGATGAACACATTCCAGGATTTTTCTCCATATAATGGACTTCAATGGGAACCAAACGGTTCAAGGTCTAAAAGACAGTTTAAGTGCAAACTGTTCAAAGGGCTTTAAATGATTCCAGACAATGAATCAAGCGAAACGATCGCTCATTTAATAAATAAATAACAAAGTTTAAGGTTTATAAGCTCAAATGCTCGCCTTGCTCTGTTCTGTGACGCACGTTCGTGACTCTCCTGTTCGAACTTGTTTATCAAAATGAACGAATCTTTTTCCGAGTCATTTGGTTCATTCAACGAACGAAACGAACAAATTGACTCAGAAAAAGGTTCATTCATTTTTGATGAGCGAGTTCGAACTGGAGAGTCACGAAGTGCATCGCGGTACAGAGCATTTGAGCTTTTAAAACTTTTTTTTTAAAATGAGTGATCATTTCGCTTGATAAGACCCTTATTCATCGTCTGGAATCAGCAAAAGTTTTTTGAAAAGTGAACTACTCCTTTAATGTGAGGACACCACCTCCAATTTCAATTATGGTCCTGTTAAATACTTATATACTTTATCTCCACTTGTTGAAAATGTTGTTACACTTTATTTTGACAGTTCACTTTAGACATTATATCAACTACAAGTAACTTTGCAACTCCATGTCAACCACTAACTCTCATTAGAGTATTAATAGACTGTTAGGGTTAGTAGAAAAAGTTGACATGTAGTTGCAATGTCTGTTAAGCATCAAAATAAGTGTTCAGCAGATATTAAGCAGTAGTTTGAGAGTTGAATGTGTGTGTGATGATAAGTGACCGTCTCTGCTGCCGGTGAGGATCTCCGGGGCCCCGTCCCCGATGCCCAGTCCTCCCACTCCATCCACACCGTTGATGATCTCCTTGTGTGCTTTGACCGAGTACACCGGGGACTCCGGCGCTTCGAGGTTCCTGCAACGCAGGGGTTCAGTTTCACGTTTCGTTACTGTAACCGTCTCAGTCTGGATGCAGGAACACATTAAGATCCTACCAGACGTTGAGGTTTCCGTCGAAGTCTCCGGTGGCCAGATGCCTGTGCTGGAGAGACGAGGCTCCAAACGTGCCACACTTGATCGGCTTCGGCTTCTCGATCTGGAATAAGGTAAGTTTGAAATGGACACACACACACACGTTTACTTAGCTGTCTAAATGGGGACATTCCATATAGGGGTCGACCGATATGTGATTTTCAGGGCCGATGCCAATACAGATTATTACCGATCAAATAGACCGATAACCGATATTTTGAACCTATATATATATATATTATAGCCTATGTCTGGTGTAAAACTGCAAATTAATGTCAAAATTAAGATTAACAAAGGGTTTTGAAAAATACTCTCTTTATATGATTTTAAACATATCTTTGAATCAGAGAACTGTTATAATAATAATAACTTGTAAAAAAGTGCAGGGAGCACCCAGCAGCATTCTGTAAACATTTTGTAAAACTTAAAGACTCTATTTTAATGTTTAAATAAAATTTTAGTAATTTTAGTAATTTAAAATTTTAATAATTTCAATTTATTTACAGTTTAACAAAAATTTAATTTTTTGGGCTTTGTGAAAAACCAAACTTTTCAAAAATGAACGAATCTTTTTTCTTGTCATTTGGTTCATTCAACGAACGAAATGAACAAATTGACTCAGGAAAAGATTCATTAATTTTGATGAACGAGTTCGAACAGGAGAGTCACGAACGCGAATCAGTCGCATCACAGAACAGAAAAAGGCGAGCATTTGAGCTTATAAAACTTAAACTTTGTTTTTTTTTTTTTTTAAATGAGCGATCGTTTCGCTTGATAAGACCCTTATTCATCGTCTGGAATCGTTTAAAGCCCTTTGAAAAGTTTGCACTGAAACTGTCTTTTGGACCTTGAACCGTTTAGTTCCCAGTAAAGTCCATTATATGGAGAAAATCCTGGAATGTTTTCATCAAAAACCTTCATTTCTTTTCGACTGAAGAAAGAAAGACATGGACATCTTGGATGACATGGGGGTGAGTAAATTCTCAGCAAAAGTTTTTTCAAAAGTGAACTACTCCTTTAACATCGGCACCGATAATCGGCCAGGCCGATAATCGGTCAACCCCTAATTCCATAGGCGTGATGGTGTTTATACTGTAAAACTGTATATTATCTCTCCTTACACTAACCCGACCCCTAAACCTACCCATCACACACACACACACACACACACACAAATGTCTGTATTCTTTCATTTTCCAAAAAAAAAAAAAAAAAAAGATGTACAAAAACCTGATTTACAAATGAGGACAATCCATAAAGGAAGTTTTTTTTTTTGGAGATTTTGGTGACTTCTGGGTAAAAATTTGTCCCCAAAATATAGTTAAGTAGGTACACACACACACACACACACTACATTGGTAAGTTACCAGTTATCTTATTGTACGGGTAGGTTAAGGGGGTGTTATTTTGCACACACAAAAAAAAGATTTAACTGTTAGTTATAGCACAGTAGTTACATTTGCTAACCTTTTATAACTTTATTTTTTTTTCGCAGGTTATCCTTTTAAAAATAGACACATCTTAAGTATTAATTCCAAAGAGTTAATGAATTACAAACATTTAAGTAGCATGTTCACGTCTACGCTGAAAAGAGGACGAGAGTAAACTGGCTAAATCTGATATTTTAAAAGTCGTTAAGAGATCGCGGTGCAAACAAACCGCGTCCCGTTGCCATGACAACCACGCGACACGAGCCTTCTAGAAAGGCGCTCATCTTCCTACGCGGGTAGTGAACCTGAATCAGTCTTCATTCGTCTGAGGTAAAGTTAAACAGCTCAAACCTCAAACAGGTCAAAAGTTAAACAGCTCAAACCTCTTTGACCAGCTTCAGTTCCCCGTGCTGGAGCTCGTAGATCTGCATCACTCCGGTTCCTCTGGCGAAGTTTCCCATACACACAAACTTTGCGCTGCAGGGAATCCATCTGCTCTCAAACACCGTGTAGTTCAAACTCTTCTGGATGTGTGCGATGATCTGGGGCTTCTCTAGGGCTGCTGACATGGTGCTTTCACTGTCAATTAAACACGAAAACACTACCAGTTTGAGCAGAAGACACGCGATGTCAGTTGTGTTGCTCGATCAGTGCGTTTAAGGACCCTCCCACACAACACATAGCTGACCTATTTATAGCCTGATCAAAATGAACGGTAAATCTTCATAAAACGAATAGACTATAACAATCGACTATTTAATCTTTTGCTTTAAAGTAACAGTTTATACAAGTTTGGTAGCTAATAGGGAATGTATGATTATTTTAATACGCTAAGGTCGCATTTGGCACGGCTAGGGCAGCAATGAGGTCCTTTAAGTGTAACATGGCAAACGCCACATGTTCGTGGTAAACATCTCTGTTGAAGTGCGTTTTTAAAACCTCGTTTCACGATGGAGTCTGTAGATAACACGACAGCGGAGGTGACTTCTACTGTTATGGACTGTGATGGAAACACAGACGCGTTTCAGAAAGTGAAGTCGAAGAAGAGTCATAAACGCAAGCGAGCCTCGTCTGAAGTGAACATGCAGGAGGAGGATTCAGTGGCGGCCAAGAGACCGCAGTTCCCGGCCTTATCTGGAGACCAGCTCAAGGTATGGACCGTGTCCAGCACTGTAAACACCGTCTTATTGATTCTAAACTCTGGGAATTGTGACACGATGTATCTGTATTTGACCAGTGAACAAACGAATCGTTTGAGTCGGATCTTTTTAATGAAGTGATCGAACGATTGAATCGGTTCTCGACCCAATAACTGGTTCAGTTTGCCCACTCTCCTCAGACATTCAAAGTCACACAATTATGAGATAAAAGAGCAAAATTACGACTTTCTGATTTATGTCTGAATTCCTTAATTAATGGCACAATTTCAGCAGTCTTAATTTCCAAACCAGTAAGACTATCATTAATTTTAGGAACACAAATGAAGATCTATTTATTCATTTAATCTGAGCCAGTTCTGCACACCCTATGATCGCCTCAAAAAGTTAAAGGGATAGTTTTGTAAATAAAAATTAAGACAGAAATAGTCGAAATTGTGAGTCAAATTTATGAGCTGAAAAGTCCAATGTCATAATAATTAAAGGGATAGTTCACCTAAAAATGAAACTTCTGTCATCATTTACTCGCCCTGATGTTGTTCTAAACACAAAAGATATTAATGAAAAGATTAATGAAATCTGAGAGCTTTCTCATAAAGTTCATAAAGACATTGTAAAACTAATCCTTATGAATGGAATGGTTTAGTCCAAATTTTTTTAATAGATTTGGTCACTTTCAGGGATGTGTCGTGCGGTCAGTGTAGGCAGGGCTCACCAACGGACATGTTGACATTACATTTATTAATTCACCACATTATTAATTGTATTTATTTTATTCCAAATACTAATTTTTGAGAACATGAGAATAAATACATTTTTGGGTGAACTAAAACATTAAATATGACAGACTTTTCATCTCATAAATATGACAGTTTTTACTCTTTCTGATTTTAATTATTATGTGTAAGAAATGTGGTTCGGTCTGCTTCTCAATCTGAAGCGTGTTGTTGTGTGTTTCAGGGAGGTTTGGATGAGATGCGTAAAGTGTCTGTTCCCGCTCACCGATACACACCTCTGAAAGAGAACTGGATGAAGATCTACACACCCATCGTGGAGAACCTTCTGCTTCAAGTGCGGTTCAATCTCAGGACAAGACACGTCGAGATTAAAGTGAGTGATGACGATTAGCGTTAGCTATCAGTAATGTTTTAATTGAGAATCGTCAGCTTAATTGTTTAGTTCACTTTAAGATGAAAATTCACTCACCCTGGTGTTGTTGTCGCCCCTTCTGTCTTCTTTGGACCACAAAATGAGAATAATAATAAAATTGTACGTTTAGTTTTTTTTTTTTTTTGCTTAATTGGAATAGTACGGAACTTGGTAAAGGTTTTGGCACTTGCTGTGTGAACAAAAAATAATAATGCGCATGATTGGAACAGGTTAATGTCCTGAAATAGTCACACATGTGCTCTAAATGAGCGCATTGGAAATGAATGGGAGGCATATTCTTGTTTATGTTTATGCATTTGATTTTTTTGCCATTTTGGTTTTTTTTAAAAAATAGTATTTTTGTGCTTTTTACAATACATAAAGTTACAGAATTTTACGTTTATTGTTAAGTTAACCTTTTCACTTAATCTATAATCTAGCAAGTGTCGTCTTTGAAAAGAGATCTAACGTCAGTCTGTGCTTTAAAGCCTTCAAGATTTACCACACTTTAATTTGGACATTTTATTTTCTATGCTTAAAAAGTGAATAAATGGATTATAAATACAGTGTAAATATTTAGTACCATAAAATCCCCTAAAAATATAATATATACAGTATATATATTAAAAAAAACATTATTGAACTAAAATATAGTGCAATCAGCAAAGAGCATCAGAGGGTTAATAAAAGGTGCAGAAGTGTCGACGTTACACACGTGGCTGTTCCCTGCCATTATATGGACAAGTGTGTGCAGGACGTTATTTTAAATTATTCTCGTTTTGTGGTGCGATAAAGAAAGAAGGGCGACAACACCAGGGTGAGTAAATTATGACTTGTTTTTCATTTTAGGCTGAACTATCCTTAAAAAAAATGTAAAATGCTTTGAAATGAAACACGTTTGCTGTCAGATACGCTGTAAAACACCCAGTGCTCTCGTTTTCCAGACGTGTAAAGAGACTCAAGACATCAGTTCTCTGACCAGAGCTGCAGACTTCGTCAAGGCGTTCGTTCTAGGCTTTCAGGTGGAGGTGAGCGAGTGTTTACTG